CAGCTTGTGATGTGGACATGCCTGCAACAAATTACATGTACAGACTGAACAAGGAACGGGAATTTCCCCGTTAGCTTTGTAACGTGGTCCCAGAAAACAGTGCAGAGCAGCTGACTGTGGGTCTTGTTTGGTTTCATCCTCCTACTGCTCCGGCAGCAGAGAAGAATTCCGAGCCGGGGCCTGCGTACGCCACGCAGTGCGCGCTCGGCAGCGGCACTGCCTGGCCCTGGCAGTGCCCACCGCTCCCCCACCTGTTTCCCACTGTGGACTCCAGCAACACATCCAGCGTCCAGCTCTGGAGCCCCCAACATAAGAAGGACATGGACCAGTTGGAGAGGGTCCAGAGGAGGGCCACGAAGATGATAAGAGGGCTGGAGCACCTTTCCTATGAGGACAGGCTGAAAGAGTTGTGGCTGTTCAGCCTGCAGAAGAGGAGGCTCCGGGGTGACCTTATAGCGGTCTTCCAGTACCTCAAGGGGGCCTACAAGAAAGATGGCGAGAGGCTGTTCAGGACGGCCTGTTGTGATAGGACAAGGGGTAATGGTTTTAAAATAGAGGGAGGTAGATTCAGATTGGATATTAGGAAAAAATTTTTTACCATGAGAGTAAACTGTAGAAGTTTGTAGTTCTACCATGTAGAACACTGGAACAGGTTGCCCAGAGAGGTGGTGGATGCTCCATCCCTGGAGACGTTCAAGGCCAGGTTGGACAAGGCCCTGAGCAACCTGATCTAGTTGGAGATATCCCTGTTCCTTGCAGGGGGGTTGGACTAGATGACCTTTGAAGGTCCCTTCCAGCCCTAACCATTCTATGATTCTATGATCTCAGGGTTACCAGGCCCACCTCTGCCAGAACAATTTTTTGTCATCAGAAGCTGCATTTAAATAACATTTCAAGGCTCTGTCTATAAATACTGACCATTTTATAGCACAAAGATGTTTTTCCTGGCTTGCGCTTACCCCACGCGCCCTCCTGCCCGGGCTGCCGCCGCCCTTCCTGAGACCGCGGGCTCTGAGATGCTGCTGATTGCAAGAACATGAACGGCCGCACATTCTGCTTCAGTTGCACACAGAATTGCACATTTACCACCTAGCTTATCACAGGATTTTTATCATTTAGACTATTTATACAATTGCCCTTCTTTCAAGACTCTTCATAATTCCTGCAGGTGGGAAAGCACGCGTGCATTTGAAAGATTTTGATAATTTCTTACGCTGCCTTCCAGATGCTCATCACTCAGTCCACATCTTGGTGGTAACCCTGGACACACTGTAGCAGCAGAAGCCTTACCAGTGTTGCAGAGAGCAGGGTAATTCCTTCACATGCTGTGAGATACAGTCCATTGTGCTGTGAGGTTTCTCCTCCTTGTAGGCATCAATGCTCATCTCAAGATTAGTTGTACTCCATTTCCCAAACCTTCTTCTGAGACACCCATCCCGGCAGTTCTTACTCTTTTAGTCATGCGGTTGGCTAAACCCACCTATGCAGAGAGACCTCCGTCGAAGGGGTATTCCCTCACTCTCCTTTTTAAGACTTTTGGTTCTGCTAGAGAGTTCTGAATACCCTGGTCCTTCTCTTCCAGTTTGCCTCCAGTTTAATAAGCATACTTTGGTTCTCCAGGATAGCAATGAAAAATTCTAAACAATCTTAATCCATAAAAGGCTTAAAATAGTGTTGTAGAGGAAAGCTAGATTTTTATGCTCATTTTCATGTTCTAGAAAACCAACTGTTCCCTTGAGAAGAGAAACAAAAGGACTATTATAGAATCATAGAATGGTGTGGGTTGGAAGGGAACTCAAAGATCATTTAGTTCCAACCCCCCTGCCATGGGCAGGGAAACCCTCCACTACACCAGGTTGCCCAAAGCCTCATCCAACCTGGCCTTGAACACTTCCAGGGATGGAGCATCCACAACTTCTCTAGGCAACCTGTTCCAGTGCCTCACCACCCTCGGAGTGAAAAATTTCTTCCTTAGGTCTAATCTAAATCTGCCCTCTTTCAGTTTAAAGCCATTGCCCCTTGTCCTATCACTACACACCCCTGTAAAAAGTCCCTCGCCAGCTTTCCTGTAGGCCCCCTTTAAGTACTGGAAGGCTGCAATAAGATCACCCCGGAACCTTCTCTTCTCCAGGCTGAACAGCCCCAACTCTCTCAGCCTGTCTTCAGAGGAGAGGTGTTCCAGCCTTCGGATCATCTTCGTGGCCCTCCTCTGGACCCGCTCCAGAATCTCCATGTCCTTGTGTTGGGGACTCCAAAGCTGAACACAGTATTCCAGGTGGGGGTCTCACGAGAGCAGAGTATTTTGATGGTTTGGTTTTTTTTGTTGGGTTTTGTGAGGTTTCTTTTAGAAGCTCTATTTGTTACAGAATCAACGCCAGACTTCCAGCATAATGAACCACAAGCAGCAGCTTGACAGGAACGCTACAAAGGCACAAATTGTGTTAGGAACACAAAACCCAACTAGGGATGCACAGCTGCCACTGGCTCCCAGACGTGTTCCTCCCCAGTAATTGCAATAGTCAAGCTAGTAAGAGGCATCAGGGCACCTTATAAGCAATTCTCATACCAACTTACAGATGCTTCCTGGAACCAGTTTTCATAGAGAAGGCAATTTCACTGACAGCACGGGCTACTCCAGATATAAGGCTTGTTCCCTAACAGGCGATAGCATCTAACAGTGATTATTGGATATCCCTGCCCAACTCTAAACCACAGTCTAATTTTTCTCGCTGCAAGACAATGGGTCTCCAGATGCATTTGTGTTTATCAGTGTCACAGCAAGCTGATAAACACTTCAGCCACTGGAAGGGGACAACTTCAGAAAGGATCACGATCAAGCTGGCTTTATCAGCCATTTGCTGTGCCTCTACATACACAGAGAGCTGTCATACAGTTCTGCTGGTGAAACAGAGCAGGTGAGCACTCTTCAACCATGTTATCGCTAAGGCACAAAACCTGGCTTAAGGCAGACAGTTCAAATTACAGCCAGAAAGCTCAGAGTGACCCAGGAGAAATTACATTGGAGCAGAGCTGACAGCTCTCCCAGAAACCAGTGTTGACTGAGCTTTAAAAGCAGCAGCTACTGACATCCTGACACGAAGGAGTAGCAGCAACCTAAAACTCAGCCATGCCTACAGCTTTTGCCTCGTTTTCTGTGAGAGGTCTTAACGTAAGACATTGAAAGATACGTGCTTTCCCCTTTAAGTTTGTAAAATCTGCGGTCATCTAGGTGGAGGCAGCCAAGTGCAATCGTGGCTTCCTTTAGAGCTGTGTTACAGGAACGAGAGCAACCATCCTTTAAACACACGCCCTCCTGTATCCCCAGAAAAGGAAAGAAACGCTTCAGAGAAAGGACAGTGAAACCCTGGATATTCCCCATGCAACTGTTCAAGGCCCTGGGCAAGCCCATCAAGCTCTGAAGCGGCCCCACTCTGAGCAGAAGATCGGACCAACTGACCTTCAGAGGTCCCTCCCAACCTGAATTATGCTACGATTGTTTGAAACCTAATCCACTTAACTCAATGTGTACTTACAAACTAGATCTGCTCCTACCCTACAAACACAGGGCAGTCCTATCCTCAAACCATGGAAGAGCATAGACACAGAAGGCAGTCTCTCTAAACCTATCCTCAAAGTTGCAGAGCTCTGGAGAAATTCTTCCAAAACAGCATTAAAATCTGACAAAAATGATTAATAAGCATTTGAAGCTTTTACAAGCACTGCCTTGAATATCTTCAGTTCTTCTGGCTTAATAGTGTACTGTTTAGCCTACATCAAACTAGCAATCAACTGCAACAGTATCTGTCTATTAGTTAACTAAATTAATAGTATCTATTAGATTATCTATCTATCTAGTTAACAGCCACTGTAAACCTTTTCAATCAGCAGAAAAATTCTAGCACTGCACTAGTACAGTTAGTATTAACACTCAACGCTTCACTATTTGCTCTAGAACACTCTCCAACTCTCTAATAGTTTTTTTTCTTATTTTACAGTAAGGAGCTGATTGCTTTACTTACCCTAATAACTGAGAATGAGCTAGCTTTGGGCACCTAAACCATGCAGCAACATTGGAAGCAACATTACCAAGTCTTATTTACGATGGACACATACATGTTGATTTCATGAGCAGCAAGATAACTACACAATCACTAATCGCATTTGCATGCTTGGAAATCTTCATTCTTCTCAGGAAATATGATCATAGAATCATAGGATCATCTGGTTGGAAGAGACCCTCAAGATCATCGAGTCCAACCATTCACCCTGCACTGTCAGGGTCCCTAAACCATGTTCCTCAACACCAAAAATCCACACGTTTTTTAAACACCTCCAGGGATGGGACTCCACCACCTCCCTGGGCAGGCTGTTCCAATACTTCACCACCCTCTCTGTAAAGAGATTTTTCCTGATATCTAACCTAAATTTCCCCTGGCGTAACTTGAGGCCATTCCCTCTCGTCCTGTCATGATGTTCCATTAAGCTGCAGCAGAGAAAAGCCACTGAACAACAACAAAAAAATCTTATTACATGAAGGTACTGAGTTCAACTGAGACTATTTCTAAGCCCCTGAAGCTGCAGAGTACAGTGTTATTGTCTCTACGTAGTAAAAACTGTCACCTTTGGATGGTGATCAGGAATCAGATTCCTCTGTTTCTAGATGTATTTCAGTCAACTTCCAGCAGCTGACAGCAAAGATACAGCACAATCAAGTCCTCAACATTCATTTCCACACAGGTTTAATCTAATCCTAATCATTTATTATACGATTAATTTGCTCCACTAAAGCAAGAAGAGGAAATTCCTATAATAAAGACAAGGTATCACTTTCTCATAAGGATTCAAGGCATTTAACTCACCTTCCAAGTATTAATACAAACCACGTACGAAGAAAAGAGGCTCACAATTCAAAGATCTGCATATTGATGAACCCAATGTACATTTACTGGAAGTAAAAAGCACTCTAACGTAGAAAGCATGATACAGTCCAGATCACCATAACACAACGTAAAAACTGCTTTATTGATTGCAGTTAACATGTTACAATTAAATTATGATTCCAAGCATTAAGCCAGCTGCTTATAGGATGTATAAGCTGCCATCATAGTCACATGGAATTGGACGAAGAGATGCTAGTCACTGAGGCATCTTGAACTGGAATCATTTCTGCTTCTTGGGCATTGAAGCGACAAGCAGCTCATAAACAACATAGGCTGTTCCTGAATTCAGAGACAGAAAAGATATTTTCAGAATGGTAAACAGAAGTTCTTTCAAATCAGCTTTCCTTTCCCAGTTTGTTCCAGAAGAAATATTAACAATAAGCAGCTGCAACTCTGACACAATACATTTTCATAGCCACATCTCAATGATTTTTTTTTTTTGGCAATTCGTATTTTAGAAGAAAAAAAATCCTTAAATAGCTCTCCACAGACTGCATAAAGAAATGGGGGCGGGGGGGGGGAAGGGAGAGGCATGTTTGTGGAACCTACACAGATGATCATAAAGTAACAGCTACTCATTTTTAAAGTAGCTGAACTGAAAATTCATTAGATCAACACAGTTAAGTTAGAGGCTGTTACAAAACCACGTAACAAGCAACATAAAGGTTGGATAAAGATAGCATCACAAAGTTTGGATATATTCTGCTAGTTTGCACAGCATGCGAAACCTCAGCAAATCAAGTATCACCTAACACTAAAAAGAGTCAGGCCAGTGAGAAAACTGGTATATGTATGTGCTGTAATTACATTTTACTCCTTTTCAGAATAAGCTTTGTAAGTAGTTAAAGCTAGAATATTGTACACGATTTCTGAAGGAGCATTCAACCTATACTACTATCAATCAGGGGAAAAAAAAAAAACACCTGAAAAGCTAAATTTGAGAAAGTACAAATACATATATAGTATGTCAAAATTTCCCCCCCTTCTTTCTACATAAATTTTGCCTGTTCTAAAGAACAGACTGAAGGAACTGCATAACTAATTTACAAAGGAAATGCCAGTCACGTTGGAGATTGTACCAAAGAAAAAGTATTTTAACATTAGCACGTTGGAAATTGTACCAAAACATAAATATGTCAGTATTAGTCTTACCAAAAACCGCAAGACCCATGGTGACTCTATACAGCAGAGCATCCATTATACCACCTTTAAGATGCACTGGGAGGCCATTATCCTCCTAATGGAAAAAAGTGACAAAAAGAAACTATTTAAATGCAGTTCTTGCAATATTGTGTTAATATAATTAGAACTACCCAGAACAAGAACTACCCCAAATTACCTTCCCAACTCCCAAGGGACGCTGAACCCTATTTAGACTCCACTTTGTCGTTCAAGCTTTCCCTCTGGTATCAGGTGATCACTCACTAGGGAAGTATAGTAAATGGTGTGCACGTTCGTTTCTACAGCAATGACTGGCAGATGCCAAAACACTTCTGACACCAGTTGCCAGCCCCCTCGGGTGCACAGGACATGATTACCATCCCATCAGCCTTCAGCGCAGTCAATCCCTGCTATAGGGAGCAGCAAGGGGAGGAGCCTCTATTGTCACCCGGCATCATACAGGAAATTGTTTTGCGGCACCTGAAGTGGAACTCCTAGACACCAGAGCCACGTGATCAGAGAAGTTGATAACTCTTGTCAGATAACTCTCTTGTCAGAGAGTTCATACTGCTCTGCAACTCAAGCCTGCCTCCAGCACTGGTGACCTGCAACCCAGCCCAGCCTAACTCGCTGCCCCACAGGAAAGGAATGGGAGGAGGAAACACCTAGAGATCTCCGCCAGCAGGAAGAGAACCTCTGACCTTACCCATCATCAACATCCTACTTTCCCATGGCTCACAATGAACACTGTGCTCCTTAGGCAGTGTCCCAACAAGACTGGCTTTCTCGTTCAGGGGAAAGGAAAGCAACAAGACAAAAAAACTATTAAACTGGGGCTTCTAACATACTTTTTCCCTTTCACATCACTGAAGCCCAGTCTATTCTACTCTCAGTATGAAGCTCACGTACAAATCATTTCACAGGGTACAAACCCTGAAGAATCAGCAAGTTAAGTATGCATGTAGAAATACTCTTAATCTCTGTCGAAAATAACTGATGATTTCAAACGCTGTAGTCATATAACTGATTTCAAGAGCTCACCTCAGATGTAAAGAGGACCTTCACCAGTTCTTTATAAACAAAATACATGCAATTATGATCTACTAAAACCTTGTTATTCTACTATCAGTGCTCACTCAATACCTGAAAAAGCTTCTGCTTCTCATGAACTCTATTTTCAAACTGCCTGCGTGAAGCAGTGCTTATGGTCCTCTGGGAAATTTGGCGAAGACTCTGAAATAAAAAATAAACAGTGTTTTAAAAACAGTGAAATTTTTCAGCTATACCCCCACTGGGTAGACATGCTTTCTTTTAGAAGTAAGACAGAAGTGCAAGGGACAGAAAGAAAGGAAAGTCTTTAAAAACAAACAAACAAAACTCCACCAAAACCCACTGGTTTTTAATTCAGTCAATCCTTTGACAGACTATGTAAAGGATTGATTTGAAAAAGGAAAAACTCAGGAAAACTATTTTCAGTAAGATACAACACATTTATGGATCTGCAGCATAACCTTCATAATTAGCATCCTTTTGGGGGCAATCTCCACCTCTACCTCTCAGATCTCAGTTTTCAGCACCGTTTGCTGTGTCTGACTCTAGCAATAGGGACAATAACGTTTGAGACATACAAGTTTGTACAGACAAGGATCTTCTGTCATAGCTGCAGTTCAAGGGCTAGCCACCAGCCCAGGAGCTAATCTTCACAGAGCTGAAGAAGGCACCACCCCCTCACACACACATAAGAGTTTAAAGACACCCTGTTGTGTCCTGAGCTAAAATGTTTCCACAGTCAGACTACATAGATGCTCGTTAGCACAGGTCAGGCCACCAAAACCAATAATCTGTAATTCTTCCGATGGCTCAAAGCCTGCCGTTGCTAACATGTCAAGTCTCAAATTCAAGTCCCAGCTGTAACACTAAGCGCCAGCAGCCTCCTTCAAGCAACACGGTTCCCCCCCCGCGACACCACCACCGCTAAAAACGCAGCCACGGGGCAAACACCCAGACGATGCTGGTTGCAAGAAACGGAACAACACACCTCCTCCCCTCACCCACCCCAAACCAACACACTGTAAAACTTATCTCTTCAGACACGGACTAAGCGTGCCC